AGCCATGCTGTTGTAATCCCTGCAGAATGTGGTTTGTCTTTGTCTTACTGATATATGAAGGTCTTCCCTGAAAAAGTCGTTGTCTGGATGGCAGTAGATGTTGCTCCTAAACCTGTTTATGTTGTTCAGCATTAATATAGTCTTTGCAGATGTGTCAGCTACCCATGACATGAACACTAAGGATCCCCATACCATCAGGGATGCTGGCTTTGAACTGAGAGCTGATAACAAGCTGGGAGGTCACTCTACACTTGAAAAAGGATGTCCGGATAATATGCAGTGCTCGTGACTTCCAGATATGCCATGTTCGTTAATCCTTGTGTGTCCATGATTTCTCTAAAGGTTTGCAGTCGCCATGGTTTCAGTTTTTCCTCTTCCCCTCAGTCTGTCTTAAATAAGCTCAGATCCAGAGAAGTTTGTGGTGTTTCTGGTTTCCTCTTAGATCAGTTTTAACTTGCACTTGTGGATGCAGGAATGAACTGTGTTCACAGACAATAGATTTTGGGAGTGTTTTTTGAGCCCATGCCATAATTTCCACTACAATGTCCTATCTGTTTTTGATGCAGGCATCAAAACAAATGAAATTCCTTACAGATCATCCACTTTATGTAACAGAAAATAATTTAAATTCAGCCGCCTTGAGTCTCCTGAGTTGTAATCTTGTGTAATTCTCTGACTGGAAACCCCCCCGTAGCTGACTCTATAACAGCACTATAAACCACATCATCTTTTTAAGCCTGTCCTGTCAGAGGGATGAGTTATCCTTCCACTGAAACGCTTTATTTTAAAAGTCATGGAGGCAGACATTCAGAGAGAGGACTTTGTGTCCATGTACACATCTTTACAAACTCCGACAGAGTGTCTCTGAGACCAGCTGCTTCTGTCCAGCAGTCCCTCCTCTTTGCTGTTTGAGATGACTGTGTTTCAGATGTCAAAAAGCTCAACAGCCTAGTAACCCTCGTAAAAAAAGCATGAGAAATAATTCAGTCAGAGATGAAATAAGAAAGCAGTGAACCTCTGCAGCTGAGGGAGGACAGACAGACGATGAGGAAGTAGGAAAAGAGTCTGAGGAGAGACAGAATTCATCGTCATTAAACTCACTGACAGATTAACAGTGTATGATAATAACTGACAGTGTTATTATCAAAGCTGGATGTTTTTACTGTCTCTGTATGGTTCACGCTGAGCTCTGTTTTTCTGTCTCATGACGCCAGCTCTCTACCCTCCTCTCTCAGCCTGTCTGACTGATTTCTGATCAACAATCAGTCTGGAAACCGTCCCATCCTCAGTCTCCCATGAACTTCACAGTCTGCAGGGGACAATCATCACACTCATGGGCAAATATTTTGAAACTCTGTGAATATAAGGAAGAAACTCTAAGCTGTCAGAGAGCTCATTTTTCAGCATTAACAACTCAAAGTAACACTTCATGCCATGCAGGTTTAATCTTTCAGACAGGGTCATATTGATTTAGAAGGAATGAATAAAAGAGAAGATTTAAATGATCACAGATTTATTACTGTATTGTCTTCCTCCTCCTCATTTATCTTAGTCTCCTCCTGAGCTTTAATGTGGTCAGCATAAATCAGCTCATCCTGCAGCATCAGGCTGAATCAAACTACAGGTCTATAAACAGACTGTTTCAGAATTAAAAGTGCAAAATCTGATTTGTCAGCTGATCTGGTTTAGTTTCTCTTTCTTTCAGTTCTCGGGTCTGAGCTGGTTAAACTTGGGGGTTTGGAGAGAAAAAAACTGTCTGGATGATTCTGATCCCAGCAGAGGACTGGAACCAGACCAGATCATAGGATTAACATGGAAGAAAACTTCAAAACCTGGACAAACAAAACTGGGTTTTTACTGTGCAGGGAAACTTGACCTCCACTAGGGGGTGCACCACACAGCAATGTCAGAGCCCTCTACAGGTAAAAAGGTTTGTTGAACCTTAAGTCAGAGTTTTCAGTGTTATGAAGCTATCGTTCACCTGCCTACATCACCATGGTAACAGCTTTAAATCAACTGTCAAGTGTCAGGGTTTCAGGGTTTATTACCAGACAGTTTTCTCTTGAGGTAACACCGACCATCAGCTGGTTTAAAATGAGCACAGCGATAGTTCAGGCAGGCCCAAGAGTCAAGCCACGCCCACTGTGCATCAGCTGATCTTAACTCCAGCTTATATCAGCTAACAGCTCAGCTAATGACCTTCTACCATCCAACAGTCAAAGGGAAAATGCTTGTCCTGTTTAATCATCTCCAGCCGGCCTACTCTTCCTGCCTTTGCTGTTGCTCTCCCGTCTCTACACCAGCACCTCCTTTTTACTCGTTGTCTGATTTTACTAGGGTCATGGTCACTGATGCTGCTCTGTTTTACCCTTGGATTTTTGCTGCTGCCTCCCCTGCTGTTTTAAACCTTTTGACAAAAGTGGTTCTGACTGAAATGAAAGTGGTTAATGAGGTTTTTTGTATCTGTAATGTCATATCTGGATAAAAACAGTCTGTGACAGAGCTTGAATCACAGAGAGAAACTCAGTGACCCACGTGTTTGAGCGAAAGCAGAGAAAACTTTCTCAGGATACAATCAGAGTCAGAGTCCGCTTCCTAAAACCAGAACAACCAGAGAACTCAGGCTCAATTAAACCAACAGATCCCAGTTAGCCTGCTGCTAACACTGTGGGAACAAGAGGGGAGGCACTGAGCAATGAGAGAGAGAGAGAGAGAGAGAGAGAGAGAGAGAGAGAGAACAGAGAGTACAGTGATGGTCATTTTCCGCCCTGATAGGCAGAGCAGTGGGAACTTCCTGTGGGCAGCAGACTCACAGAGACGCTGGAGCTGTGAACCAGCTGACTCACCAAACTACACACCATCACACCACACAACACAACAACACTACACAACACATTACACCAAACCACACACCATAACACAACACAATAACAAACACAGCATTACATTACACAACAGCACACAACCCGGGCGAGTATGGATGTTCACCACAGTCTGACATCAGGGCCTGTGTCCACTGACAGAGTTTAAAGATCAAGCTAACAGCTCAGAGTTTATACAGCTCAGCACCACGAACACTGAAACTCTCTGACTGTGTGTATCCCTGAACATGACCCTTCAGGCTATACGTGTGGTGTGACTTTATGATGAGCACAGTACACTGAGATAAGTTCCACTCAGCTGTTTGAGTTCATGTGGTAATAAATCTTAAAACTGAGTTAAATTGAATGTCTAACACTGCGTCCTCTGCTCTGTGTGTCTGACTCCCTCTTCATTTGATTTAAAAAGTTTCTCCCTGCAGGCTCCTGGATCACCAGGCGATCCTCTGGCCCCAGATTCTCCTCTCCTCCTCTGTTCCTCAAGCTCTCTCAGGTGGTCTCAGAGGTGAATATATCATACCTGCATCTATATGGCTCTTCTGGGAGCTGTGTTCCTGTTCAGACACTCAGACAGGATCTGGATCTGGATCTGCACCACAGGGACTAAAGTCGGCACCAGAGTCTGCATTACTCTGTGTACATTCACTCTGATTTAGGCCAAAGTTTACCGTAATCTCTCCATCATCGGAGCTGCACGTCCGTCCAGCAAAAACATATACACAAATATATACACTTGCACACATGTATTAACACAAGCACACAAACACATATATAAACATGTACACACACACCGCAACACACAAGCATGTAAAGACAGAGCTGGAGAGGAACAAGTTTGGAGGAACTCACAGGGACATGGTATATCCATCACTGTGATTTTAAAGAGGGAGGGCATGTGTGTGTGTGTTTTATACCTAAACACACACACACACACACACACACACACACACACACACACACACACACACACACACACACACACACAGCTGAAGTGATAAATGCTTGTCAGGACAGAGTTGCAGGTATTTTCCTCTGCTGACTGTCTCAGATGATCTCAGACCGTCTCTTTATGTCAAGTTAGTCCAGGTTGTCTTATGGTCGTCCAAACGCGAATAAAATTATTCTCCTGCAGACACGATAAAAACATGCAAACGGAGTGCATCGTTACTGTGAATTACGTGAATAAACATACCAAACATTAAGACCTCCAGATATGAGCTAATTGAAGAAATAGATGATTTTATTCACACTTGGTGTGAACACAACATTGGATGGTCTTAGGTTGTCTCAGATTGTCTCAAGTTCTAATAGATGGTCTCAGGTTTTCTCAGAGTCTCTCAGGTTGTCTCAGACTGTCTCAGGTTTTCCTGCCGATGGACTGTGACCCAGTTAGAGAAGGTCTCAGTCTCTGCTCTTTCAGTCCTTTATACAGGGTGTCCAGTGTAGCTGTGAATACCTCAGATGCCCATCATGGTCCTGAAGAGTATCTCTGTCCTGTTCAGACTATATGTGACGTGTCTGAGCTCTTAAATAAGTGTTTCAGTAACTAAACCTCCTCCTCACAGAGGACCACCTGCTGCTGCTTTAAGCAGGCCGCTCTATTTCTGACGCACCATGACCACAACACACACTCAGACCAGATTATTTCATGATGCTGCCAATCCTGAGGTGACAGGTTTAGGCTCAGTCACATTTGAATGTCCTGTGGCTACTGAAAAACCACAAACTACCATTATAGTTTGTTTAATGGTGTTTAAAGGAACATTTCTGCATTAGCCACATGATAAACAAAATAACGAGGGTGTGTAAATCCAATAAGGTGCATTGTTCGACATCACAACATCATCATCAATAATCTTTTTGCTGCCTGATGTAGAGGGCTGACATTAAGTAAAGTGATCAGTTACGGGACTGATTTTACTGAAAACAGATGGCAGCTGCTAAATGCACCAACATTGACCCTCACTGTCTTCTCTGTGTGAAGATGCAGCCCATACTGCTCTGATGATCTTCAAACATGCCCTCAAAGCTCTGCAGCTCTGTGCAGTTTGCTTTTGGAGACGAGCTGTCAGCATCTCCTCTGTCTGCTGCACAGAGCTGAGCTGTGCACTCTCATCCTGACAGCTCAGGTCTGTCCATTTACAGATAATGAGCTGGATGGATAGGGGACACAGTTTGTGGTGCATTTAAACTTTGGGATCAGTGTCTCTTTGCAGGTCTAGAGATACAAAAACTCCTCCGGTGAATCCAATTAATGGTGTTCATTTCTGTGCCCTTACTTCGCAGATATACGTATTCCTATAGGCTTAGTGCAAAGCAAAGATGTTTGGAGTCTCTTTGTTTAACTGAGCTAACCAGCTGCTCTATATTTACCATGCAGTCATAAGAATGGCATCAATCTTCTGGTTTAACTGCTGGTAATAAATTTACGAACAAACTGTAGCTGCAGTATTTCTTTTTGCCATCAGTCTGTCAGAAATGAGACGACTCCTCCAGGAATACTCTCACTGCTCTCACTCTGTCACAGTGAGTAACGATCTAAATGCGCCGAAGCTCCCTTTGAGATTCCTCTCCTGTTTTCTTCATTGAATTAAATTTCACCACCATGCCCACATTTCACCATTTTGAGCCTGCTGCTGCTGTGTCCTAATATTTCCCTGAGTCTCTTTAAAGCCTGCAGCTCTGACTCACACATTAACAGACTACAGATTTGCTTCAGAGCAGGTTAACACTGACGGTATCCACCCCACAGTCTGAGGATTACAGGAACACACACCTTCTTCTGTTACCTTCACCTTTTTCTCTCCTCAATCCTCCTCCTGTCCTCCTGTTAGAAGGTCATGTCAGAGCGGGCTGAGTAAACACAGCTGCTGGCTGACGGTCACAGTTTCTAAATGTCTGAGGTCTGAGCCTGAGCCATCCTCTAAACCAATAAATACTGCAACTGTCTGCATTCACTGACTCATTACCTTAATGAATACTCTGCATAGCAGCCTTAATCAGACACACTGAAATTATCACACAGAATAGCCCAGCATCCTCAGGGACAAAGACCTTCAGTCATCCGACCTCCAGACAAAATACTAACCCTGGATAGAGCTGCTACTTAGAGGGTGAGTTACTATTTCTAATCTGGGGTGTATGAATGATTTATTTTAAGGTTTGAAATAATTAAAGGTCGAAAAGTTTTGTAATTGATCCTGCAGATGGTAAACAGGCTTTAGTGTCTGCATAATCCTTGCTGGAGCAAAGCATACCCAATAAAAGTTGTAGTATTGTCCCTGACAGGCTGAGATTGTTATTCATAGAGTCGGATAGCATTACAGAGAGGACCCTTAAAGAGGTGCTTATTCAATCAAAAACAGTTCCAATCTGCCCCAGAGACCCCAGACACCCCAGACTGCTTTAACAGAGACAATAGTTTTCCTTCTAAGGTCATAATCTGGAGAAATTTCTGTACATGAGGACCAAAACCAAAACTAAACCACGAAGATGGGGAAACCAGATAGAAAAATGATGCAGAAACACCAGAGAGTTCTCTGGACCTGAGCCCATTTAGGATGAACTGAGGGGAAGAGGAAAACTGTCCTGTGGTCTGATGAATCAGAATCTGACATTTTTGGAATCATGGACACCACATCAGCTCAAAGTCAGCGTCAAAGTCTGATGGTATAAGGATCCTAGAGTCCATGTCATGGGTAGCTTACACATCTGTGAAGGATCCATTAATGCTGAACAACATAAACAGGTTTAGGAGCAACATCTGCTGCCATCCAAACAATGACTTTTTCAGGGAAGAACTTCATTCGGCAGGAATTACAACAGCATGGCTCTGTAATAGAAGCGTCCCGCTGCCGAACCGGCTTGCCTGCAGTCTTGGCTTGTCACCCAAGAAACCCTGAACTCTTGAGCAGCTGAATCCTCTATCGGGCAAGAATGGGACTACATTTTACTTTCCAAACTTCAGAAACTGGTCTGCTGTGTTCATTAACATTTACAGAGTGTTGCTTAAAGAAGAGCAGATGAGACACCATGAGAGACAAGATCCTGTAACTACTTTTTAGAAACATATCACTGACACCAAATTTAAAATGAGTAGACATTCTTCATAAAACAAAAGCATTTCAGTATCAACATGATGTGGTATCTTTGCACTATTTTTAATCTGATATGGACTCTAAATGATTTGCCAACCATCAAACTCTTTTATCAACATTTCACACAGCACCCAAACTGTTATGAAGATGGCGCTGTAAATAGAGCAGACAGTTTAACCAATGACCACACTTATTAACCGGACTCGCTTAGGGTCACATACCTCCCTGGTCACCCACTAAATAGATTAGATAAGAACAGCAGATGTGTGTATGTGTTTGTGTGTGTGTGTGAGTGTGTGAGCAGACTGCTTCATATTTAAAGCTCAGAAATCATAACTCATGACCAGCATGCTCACAGAGTGACAGAGGAGCAGTTATATCTCACTCAGACATACCTGAGCTAACAGGATTCACTCTAATTGGTTAATGGGCATCATGGGACACATAGAGATGAGCCGTGAATGTGTCCAACATAGACACAGTTTAACACGGGAGATCACGGGAAGAGGAATGACGGGGTTTCACACATCCATCCATCCGCCCCTCTCCTTCAGCGCAGAGTCGCAGACCAGCTAAATATTTTCATTGGAGTGTATTATGCTCAGCAGTCTGATTTGTGTGAAGAATGCGTGTGTGTTTGTGTGCATGTTTGTGTGTAGCAGAGAGAGCTGACTCAGCAGAGTTTTAATCTTAAACTCTGTTGTTGACTGTAGAGCAGAGAGGAGCTTCAGACACTCACAGATCTCTGTGTGTTATTGACTTCAAACAGAAATCCTGAGACCCTGGACTAAAGCTGGACTTCTTTTCTAAATTATAAGAATGGTGTAGATGAATAGAAGTCAAGCTGCTCTGGTTTAGAGTCAGAAAAATATTTGAATCTATTATGCTGGGCTGGATGAATTGTGGTTCCCCTGCTGTGCTAAGATTCAAATGTGCACGGCAGTTTGGAGTGCAGAGAAAGTGTTACTGTTATTTTGCACCTAACGCACTCATCAATTTCATGCTCAGATCTCATGATCTGTGAATCTCGTCAGAGTAAAAATTACTACTAAAAGGTTGATGTACTGTGGGTGGAGCTTGACTCCCCAGCTTTCCTGGGCTAGCACCATGATCAGTTCCTCGGGAGGTTTGTACCTGCCTGAAACTTGATCAGCTGCTCTCTCTCTCTAAATGTTGAGACAAAATCAGCAGGATCTGAACTTAAATATCAAACATGTTTTAGGTTCTAGAAAAAAAAAATGAGTCTATGAGGTGATCTTAAAGGGATATTCTGGTGTAAAATTAAGTTAGGGTCAAACACACCGTAACACCGAGTTGAACACCCCCTCGAGAGATGAATGTTGCCGACTGCTTGCTTCTCTAGTTGTACTATCTTTAGTAACGACCGCACGATAGCAATACACAGCGGTCTATGAATCCGACTCACACCTCAACCAAAAAGCCACTTTATAGCCACAAATAATGCTCAGAACAGCACCTAACTTCATCAACAGTACAGATAGGGTCCTAGCCACAGTACTAGCCACCAAACAGCTTTTTAGCTTTGCCTAATTTCTTTAGCAAAGAGACTAAACACAACTCACCTACTCTGCTCCAGCAGCCTCGTTTGTGGGGGGAGCCCTAATGAGTCGATCACCGAGTGCAGCAGAGTTTCACAGCTCAAGGAAGAACATCTATGATTATTACCTCATGAAAATGCAATCAGACCAAGATGCTAAGGCAGAAGAACTACCGCGTCTGCAGTGCAAAATGATTATTATGATAATTATTACTTCAAGGAAAAGATCCACTGCACTCAGCGATTGATTTGTCAGGGCTCCCCCACTAAAGTTGGTATAACTAGAGAAGTAAGCAGTTGGCAACATGCATCTCTCGAGGTGATGTCTAACTCTGTGTTTTAGTGTGTTTGACCCTAACTATTTTTACGCTGTAATATCCCTTTAAGACTGGATCTGTAAATCCCTCAGGTTAGCAGACCAAACCTCAGTATAGACTGATGACCTGAGCTCTATCTGCTGGTATAATGAGTTAAACAGTCCCGCAGTCTGAGCCCAGCTTCAATGTGGTGTTTTTTTTATCCTCTTCACAAAGCTCCTGTTTGTTTCGCCTCTTCATAGACTTAGTCCTGGTCAGTCAGGCCTCACGCCCCCTCAATTTGAAACAATCCTCACTTTATACAGCCATTAACAGATGACCTCTGGCTGTGAGAGCTGACCAGACCTCTGATCCACCAGAGACAACAGAGAGAGAGTGAAAGAGAGAGAAAGGGGCAGAGAGAGAGAGAGAGAGAGAGAGAGAAAACTCTGTGAAGTGATAGAGACTGTTCTAGTCTGAGACCTGTGGATCAACAGCATGGTCCTGCACCATCGCTCAACCTGATGGATTCTCTCTTCAGTGTGTTTAGAGGGGATTTCTTTGGTCAGTGTAGACAGCAGACATCACTGTAATTCTTACTGACACTGACAGTGCAAAGTCTTCCTCCTGCAGAAGATTCAGTGTACATGAACATCTCTCCACTTTCATCCCCTCTTTCAGGAGCTTCTTCCTCCCTTTATCCAAATGTTTGTTGTCTTTTGTATGGCACTTTGAGCTTCTGTTTGGTCTGTTGTGACCCTGAACACCAGTCCTCACTCTGTTTACCCTCGGCTGTAACTGTAACATCCTCTCTGCCTCTACACTGCCCCCTACTGTTCACATTCACACTGCACCTCTCGTTTGTGTTGTGTTCATTTTTAAGGATGTGCACAGCTAACACATCCAAACTAACACTGTCAAAGCCATCATGCATTAATGTGTGCGCAGACCACAGGAAGTATAACTGCAGCCTAACACCTCCAGACCCAGCTCGTGAGGGTGTGAACCTCACATCCTCAGACTGTGGACCGGCGACATGAGGTTTGAGTTTATTTGTTCGCCGATTGAGTGTTTGGAAATCAGAGAAATATTTGTTTCTTTCCTTTTGACTCAGGCTATTAAAAACTAACTCTGAAGCTATGAGAGGAAGAGTCAAAGTGAAAATGAGACAGCTGACTGTGGATGTTTGATCTATTCACTGTAAACTTCTCGGTATCAAATGAGCAGATTGCTGACCGGCAGATGTTGCTCCTCTGGGACTTTTTGGAGAGTCAGAGTGAAACAGAAATTCATGACAAAGAAACATCACAGAGAGATAAAAACTGAGAAAAACCTCCCAGAGCTGAATCCCACTGATGTTAACAAAGAGAGGACAGATACAGAGTTTGTTAGATCCCCTGCATGTGGAATATTTGTATGAACCTGTCAGTGGTTTCTTAAACACCCAAAGGACAGATTTCTCAGATTTTAGCAAAGTCCAACTAAGTCAAACCAGGATAATCTGGATTTAGTTGTTCATTTGACAAATATTCAAAACTCTCCTCTGATGACAGATCATTCAGAGCATCAGAGTGATTCAGAGATTTGTTATTAATGACCCTCGACACACTCACACTGATGGCCCTGATCAGATTTTGGCTGCAGGATGCCAGGCAGACCACTTCCTGCACCCCATTCAGCAAACAGCACACACACACATGTACACACACATACAGGCCCATATGCAGCATGCTCAGCTGTTGCCTTAAACAGAATCTTGTCAGTCGACTTAACCTGCTGGCGAGCACTTTCAGGAAGGCATCCTAGTCCTTCCAGTCACTTACTCACTCAGCCATCCTAAAACCCCCAACCCTGTATGTGTGTGCGTGTGTATTTGGGGGGTGGTTGAGGGGAATTCAGGATCCCAGCATGCTTACAGAGAGTGTCAGACACACCCTCAGGATGGTAATGACTACAGTATGAGGCTGAGGAGGGGGGAGCACAGCACTCAGTGTATGTGTGAGTGTGAGATCTCCTCTGTGAGTCACCCTCAGAAAATCTGACCCTGACTGTTTCCTGTTGCAGAGTATTTCAGTGTTTCAGAGACAGCCCATCAGACCGTGGATTTTCTCGTTAGTTTTTATAGAGAAACTGAAGTAACCACACAAATGTTTGAATGGGAGCATGAAAATGTCACTTTCCTGCAGGAGGAGACATGGACTGACTTTTTACTCTTTTAGATTTTAAGAAAAAACAGAAAGGAAATCTAATGACTTGATGGACTTTAAGGAGTCAGAACGTAAATGAGCTAGTTTAGGCAGGGCATAAAAGTCAAGCTACATCAGTGTGTCCACCGTGATCATAACTCCTGCGCACATCAGCTGACAGCTCAGCTGCTTACCCTACCTTCTATTTGATCATCTCCAACCTGCAAACCACTTTGCTGTTGCTCTCCCTGCCTTCATCCCAGCTCAGTGTTTCCCCTACATTCATACAGTAGTGGCGCACCGCCACTTTGCGCCATCACTGAAATTTCACATGATCATTTTGATTGATTGATTGATTGATTGATTGATTGATTGAAGGCTTTATTTCGGACATGATAAAAATAAAGAAACAAAGAAAACAAAGAAAACAAAAAACCCCAAATCAAAATAGTCAAAACAACATAACAATGTTAACATGTCCGAAAAGCGCCACTAATAATTCCTACTCGCACCGTGTGAGCACAACAACACACAACATTATTTTTAACTTGTTTTGAGTCATCAATGAGCACATCAAATCCTGTTGGACCCTCTTCCATCAATAAGAAAGGTAACGTTCAAGCTCATACACGGTCTATATAGCAAGTAGCGTGGGTAACGTAACGTGAACGTAACAGCGTAGCTTCTTGAGCGGCAAGAGAGTGGGAATAAAAGCGAAAATGGCTTGTCACTGGCACACCTCTGTTCTCTGCCCAGAGTTCTTCGCTGATGCTCTCCCTGCCTTAGCTGTAGCACCCCATGCATGCAAGGGAAAGCCAAGGAGCTCCCAAAACAGACACCAAACCATCAAATATAACTTATTGCATGCAAGTAATAAATACTTGAGGAGTGAGTGGTCCTGATTGATTTGCAGCTAGACTGAAATCAATCTGAATGTTCAGAGGTTGTTGCACAATGTGCTGAATCAAAATGTGCTGAATGTTAAAACTAGCATGCCTGACTCATCCTCCTTGAAAATCTGTAGAGCCGAGAAAATGGAGCCTGCAGATTTACCCCAAACTTCACTAAACCTTTAAGTCTGTTATGTAGCGATGTAGTGTTTGGACTTCCTTACTGTACCTCTCTGTCTAAAGGTCAGGTATGCAGATCTCAGTGAGTGGAGTTCACAAGCTGAGGCTAAATCTGTCTGATGTTTAATACAGGAGGACATATTCTGACAGCTGTGAGCAGAGACAGAGTCATGGACAGATCAGACCTCCTGAGTGCGGTCTGCTCACCTTCTCCTCTTACAGCTGGGCTCAGGTTCAAACACGCTGGCGATGCTTTGATCAGCAAACTCCACCCCTTTAAATGATGTTTTCAGCGACTCATCTGCACCCATCCAGCTCTCAGCTTTGGCAGGTATACTGGAGGTGATTTACACACCTGTCTGCCTGATCAGTGACTGACAGAGGATAATGCTGCAGCCACAGAGAGGCCAGCTGATCGACTGAACTGATACAGGTCTATTTTTACAGAGGGAGAGGCTGCAGGCATGCAGAGGGAAGCTGAGAGGTTAGTATTTGAGAAATCAGAGGAGGTGACAGAGGACTGGCTATGAGTATCCAATCTTTGTGGACAGTTATCTGCAGGAGGATGAGGTCTAGTGAAGGTCTAGTGTCAGATACTTTCAACTTCTCCTCAGTTATGTGTGACGTATCCTCCACAAGCATTCCTGGTCATGAGAGTCTAGTCACTGATGCCCTCCATCATCTGCAGTCTAAGGTCTCAGGTTTCTGTTCATATTTGTCACTATGAGCATCAGTAAAGGAAGTCTTGACCTGGATATCCTGTTTCACCTCTCTGAATGACTCTGCTGATGGGCTCGGAGTATGGTGCTTTCTCCCTCTGTGTTTTCTGTCTGTGTTCAAACCATTACGGTTTGTTCATTTCAAAGTGAAACCACTTTATGCCAAAAGATTTATACAAAACATCAGTCACGAGTTTCTGTAGACACCTACAGAGCACACATTAACCCTCACCTGTACTGGTAAAATGTCATACTTCTTCATTGCTTTGGTTACTATAAAGCCTGAGGTGGGGAGAGCACACCTCCACTTCATTTTTATTCACATACCATACAAAGCAAGTGCAGGAAGAGTATCAGCAGAGACCTCTTGGCCCTGCTCTGAGGGCTGCCCACCCATCTGTCTTCACATCTGGGACACAAAGCCAGAAGAGGGAAGAGCACACCTCCCTCTGTTTTATGTGCATGCAGGTTGGCTGCAACCAACTATTTTAAAATGAGAGAAAAGTCACGAGATTCCAATAAATATTTGGTGTGAAATAACTAATTGATGAGAATAGTTGCAAGGTATTGACCAGGATAATTTGGAGTGGGCAGGTTTTTCAAGAGGAAGGGATCCTAGCACACATAAACCCTCACCTTTATTCTAATGCTTTGAATACATAAAATACTAAAAAAATACTAGTTGTGGCATTTGGCTAAACGTTACAACTCGTTAATACTGTAATTGTTGTTATTTTAAAGCTTGAGGCAGGGAGAGCACACCTCTTTTCCTATTTTAATGTGTACATGTTAAAAGAAAGGGCAGAGAGAGCATCAGCACAGACCTCCCAAGTTACCGAACACAAGCGATTATTGATGATTTCATGTTTGACTATTAGTCAGTAAAGGATGATTAGCTGAACTGTCAGCTGATATTGGCAGGAGTTAAGGTCAGCTGATGTAGTGTGGTTGGAGATTTACTTCCTGGCTTGCCTGGACTAACACCATGCTCAGAATTCTTGATGTTTTGCAATGTGTCAATCACATTGTGGTAATGGATGACAGAGTATTAAAACAGCAGTTCCTATTCACTACTCAGTCTCTGTATAGGAGAGTGTTGTTATTGTGAAAATCAGGTCTGTATAGTTGGTGTTGAAATGGTTTACTATTGATGTGTAACGGTTTTATTTTTTGTATGATTCCTGAGGTTTAAAGCAGCCGGACCCCTAAAGGGTAGCACTGTGAGTGTGTGTTTCCGGTTAGAGCTACGGTAAACTGATCCAGGGTCTGTTTGAGGCATCATTCATCCTCAGCAGTAACAGAGCCGGGGTTATGACTCAGTCCTGTCCTTAAGCGGCTCTGATTCTGGCTTGAGCAGCTCTTATTTAACTGATTTATTCACTGAGTTATAGGAAAGAACAAATCAGAGTGCCATGAGTGAAGAGGTGTGCTTCAACACTAAAATCATGAGGAGTTGACAGGTCCGTGACCCAATTTTCCAAAAACAGGAGGGGACGGACGAAGACACTAAACCAGTGAATCAGCCAGGAGAAAATGCTGTCTGAATTCCTCCAGCATGAACTAGCCTGGGTCAGAGTCCAGCACATGGATCCATTTCAGTCCAGGACTCAGAGATGATCTACGTCTGTAAAGATCATCCCAGCATCATTTAACACATTTGCACTCTGCAGGTCAGAGTCTGCAGGGGGGGCGGAGTCTATCGAAGCATGCATCAGGTGACAGGACGAAGACACAATGTCTATCACATCTGAGCTGTTAACAAAATCAGAAAAACTCAGGAGTCTAAGGGTCAGTGAAGATGTGAATGAAGACATAAATTAAGTCCCTCCCCTAAAGGTCACATCTAAGGGTCTAAATCTGCTGGGAGAACTTTAAACCATCCCATTACCACGAACATCAGAGAGCAGTCTGACAGCCAGGAGACCACCTGCTGCTGCAAGGTGCCATACCTACACACAATGTGTGTGAGTTTGTGTGTGTGTGTGTGTGTGTGCGTGAAAGAGAGAGAGAGAAAAATAAGAAAGAAAATGAAAGTGTGTGCAAGACCATCCAGCTCACACATTCCTCCTGGACACAGTCAGAGCTTTGGAGGGAGAGGAGAAAAGGGAAGGGGGGTGCTGCTGGCTTTATGATTGAAACCTGGTATTAAAACGCACGCACGCGCACACACACACACACACACACACACACACACACACACACACACACACACACACACACACACACACACACACACACACACACACAAAAGAGAGTTGACAGAACTACCAAATTCAATGACTTAATCCAGGTGATTGTGATCCATTTTACCACATTAGTGCAGGGATTGGATGCATCCCACGTAAACATTTGCAGTTCGGAAGACAGCAGCTGGTTAAAAGCTTACATACAGATGAAAACATCATGGTTACAGACATTTCTTTCAGATCGCTGTTGTAAACACACACACACACACATATATATATATATGTTTGTATGTATATAAAGGGGAAAAAAAGAAAAGGAAAAAAAGGTTCATTGGCTGTGTGTCTTTGACTTTACAGCAACACCTGATATAACCCTGACGGGCTGAGTTAAAACAATACAGGGGACAGAGAGGGGGCATATACGCTCATTGTCTTGTTATGCCTCTTTGTGCCTCCCTCTTTTCACAGCTGGGCACAAACTCTGCTTCTGTCTCTCTCTCTCTCTCTCTCTCTCTCACACACACACGCACACGCACAAACAAAACTACGAACCCCCATCACTTACCCTGAAGACATCTTTCCAGTCGCGGTGATCCAACTACGTTGGTCCTCCTCTGGTCCAGGACTCCTGTGTCAGTGGGGCCTGATCACACAAGAGGGATTATGTGTGTTTGTGTGTGTGTGTTTTTGTTTACTAAAACAACAGAGCTCCCCTGAGGATGAACCACAGACTTGGTGTGACTCTGTACAGAAAAATCAGCTGATTTACTGTTGCAGAGATCAGAGTGTGTTTGTGTAGTATTTATGTAAATGCATGTGTGAAGGCGTGTGTGTACTCGTAGGTGCAATTTTGTGTACATGAACATGTCACATGGTGTCTACTTAAAGCTGGGGTTGGTAGGATCGGGGTACACATCAGTTTAGAGGAGAAACAACCAATACCCCTCCTCACCGGTTTTCCCCTCAACTTCTCAGCTCTTACCTTTTTTGTCTGTATAACACAGTAAAAGATTGATTTTTACCAGGATCCTGCCTAGCTCAGCTTAAAGTGTCCATACATTCACATCATTAGCAGACCGTCATCTAACCGTGTCTTTACATTGACTTTACATTTCTATTTTATCAGGTCAAAACACAAAGAACTTGCTTCAGCTCTGGACCAGTCCTAGCAAAAAGAGTTGTTTTAGACCTAATCCCTGTTAAGTGTTAGTCTGCAGCTCATCTGTAAAAACTGTTGAAGGACTAAATGTTGAAATGGACTCTTGAAGTATAGGAAAGTTTTCCCTCAGAGACTATCATAGTCCTCTGAGGTTTAACTTCAGTTCGTCTCCAGACTAAAATCGTTTTTAGAGAACAAAAATTTCTTTGGATCAGCTGACTGAGCTGACTGCACCTCAGAGTGGGTCTGTGATGGAGAATCACAGACCCCCACCCATGATTAGTATTTGCACTTTCTTACTCTGTTTCTGTGGTGTCCGTTCGCTGGGTCTGAGGTCTTAGGTTTGAGGTTTGGGAATTGGGGATTTGGGGGTTTGGGTTTTTTCCTGGAGGAACAGACCTCCCCAAAGGAGTCAAAGATCAAGTCCTGAGAGAGGCGGGGGGGGGAGGGGGGGTCTCTGAGGTGAGATAAATAAAGGTGATGACAGCTGATGTCATAACCAGCTGATCTCTGCGATCCTGCTGACGGTGTGTGAGCGTGTGTGCATGCAATTACATGATGATTAGTGGTAATGAAGCGTAGCTGATGACGAGGTGAAGTCTGATTAAATTCAACAGATATCCACCGACATGAGCATCTGTAAAACTTCAAAAACAGCCTCAAGAGGTTCTTCACAGTATCTCAGAAACTCTGACATCAACAACCTGCAGAGAGGAAGATTTACATATTCTACCTCACAGCAGAATGTCATGTATTTATCTGTATAATTTGCGTTGCAGATCCATCAGTGATACCCAATATCTATAAACTTTTTATTTTCTCATCTGTTGAGTCTGTTTCATCCGTACTACTCGTTAAGTAGTGTTGTGTCATTCATAAACGTTTTGTTCAAAAGTACAGAACTGCTAAGTGAACGATGTGAACTTAATCACTCCAAGAACTGATTTGTTCCTTTTTTAGTCTAGTTGCGCTCAGCCACGAGCCTGGCATGCCGGTCGAAAGTGGAACTCTTTGGCGAACGAAACACAACCAGCCAGCCAGCCAGCCAGCCAGCCAGCCAGCGGACGGGCGGAGTCTCTTGATTAACTCACAGCGAATAAACGATAGGTATAAGTCAGTGAACAAAACAGTCAGTGAACAGCCTGTATCAGTCAGTGAAAAAAACAGCCTGTGAATGACATGTGTCAGTATGTGAACAAAACGTCTTTTAATGACCTGTATCAGTCAGTAAACAAAACAGTCTGTAAATGACATGTATCAGTTTGTAAACAAAATGTCATTAAACAAGCTGTTTCAGTCAGTAAACAAAACAGTCTGTGAACAATATGTATCAGTCAGTGAATGATACAGTCTGTGAATGACATGTTTAACCCTTGTGCACCCCTAGGGACCGTTTTGGTCCTTTGTAACTATACTTTTGTGGATAATTTTGGCTGTGATGATGCAAATGGCATGAAAGTTTGTCAAAGTGTGTAATTTTAGGTGCAATTTAATTTTTTTTATTTTTTCTTCCTTTAACCTTTTTTGCATGTGAGCAATTTTTATACTTCAGTAAACACCCCTAAGGACCGAAACGGTCCCATTGACTCCCATTAAAACATGTTTTTTTCAATACACTGCCAATGCAGTATAATTTTTGGATTTTTTTTTTTTCTCATGTACACCTATTCTTTGAGGGTCAAACTGTTTTTTTTTTTATGCCGACCAGCAGATGGCGCCATTTTTCTTTTTTCCTGCCATACCCTTTAGAACCAGAGGGGCACTGTTTTCCCTTTGTCACAGAGCTGGTTTATTTCATGCATATAGATAGATAGATTGATAGATATATAATTTATTGATCCCAAACTGGAAAATTCTCATGTTACAGCAGCAAAAAAATACAAAATAGAATTAAATATAAGAAGAAATATGTACAATGCAGACTAAAAATACTAAATATATACATTGAATACAGGCTAAATATACTAAACATCTTTAGAGAGAAAATAAATTTAATAAAAAATATTTAGGTGTGCTTTTGGGACATCATGGATTATGTGCATGTGTTTTCATGAATTACTTATGTGTGTGTGTGTGTGTGTGTGTGTGTGTGTGTGTGTGTGTGTGTGTGTGTGTGTGCATATGCAGCCATGAGAATAGCCAAAATCCTTCCAGAAACAGCGGCAGTTGTACAATCTGCACCTGCAGTTTCCTTGTGTGTGTGTGTGTGTGTGTGTGTGTGTGTGTGTGTGTGTGTGTGTGTGTGTGATTGTGTGTCTGATTGTGTGTGTGTGCGCACGTGTGTGAGCAAGCTCATGAGGTTCATAGCGGGCACCTGATCAATGTGAGTGCGTAAAAGCAAGCAAGGAAGGGATGGAGTGTGTGTGTGTGTTTGTGTGTGTTTGTGTGTGTGTGTGTGTGTGTGTGTGTGTGTGTGTGTGTGTGTGTGTGTGTGTGTGTGTGTGTGTGTGTGTGTGTGTGTGTGTGTGTGTGTGTGTGTGTGTGAGATTGTGTGTGCGAGCGTGCGTGCATGTGTGCGTGTGTAAGCGCACGCACGAGGTTCATAGCTGGCACCTGAAGAGGGAGGGCTTCATCAATGTGCTTACGTAAAAGCAAGGGATGGATGGATGGATGGTGTGTGTGTGTGTGTGTGTGTGTGTGTGTATGTGTGCGTGTGTCTGATTGTTTTTGTGTGTGTGTGTGTGTCTGATTGTTTGTGTGTGTGTGTGAGCGAGCGCACGAGGTTCATAGCAGGCACCTGATCGATTTGCGTGCGTAAAAGCAAGCAAGGGATGGATGGTGTGTGTATGTGTGTGTGTGTGTGTGTGTGTTTGAGATTGTGTGTGAGATTGTGTGTGCGTGCATGCATGTGTGAGCGCATGCACAAGGTTCATAGCGGGCACCTGAAGAGGGAGGATATCATCGATGTGCGTGCATAAAAGCAAGAGATGGATGGATGGATGGATGGATGGATGGTGTGTGTGTGTGTGTGTGTGTGTGTGTGTGTTATACACTACAGAAAAAAAAAAATCTTTTCAAATCAATTTTCTCATCAATGTTTACCAATCCCATGCTCTTATAATCAAAAGTTTAAAAAAACAATTGAATTGGAAAATAATTCATCAAGTTTGTTTTTTGACTTAAGATAATATCAGGTTTTTACAAAAAAGACTGGCATTTATGGGGTTAAAATACACAACCTGAATAAAGTTTTGCTATTTATGATTAGGTTATAAGTCAATGATGGCAGCCAAAAAAAAAAAAAATTAAAATACATTTATTTAGACCATATTTTTACTCCAGCAAAATGGAGGGGACTGTTTCGGTCCTTAGGGGTGTTTATTGAAGTTTTTATTATTATTCAACACTACAGAAAAAATACCAATCCTTTCAAATCCATTTTCTCATCAATGTTTACCAATCCCATGCTCTAATAATCAAAAGTTAAAAAAAACAATTTGCATTTATAGGATGGAAAATAATTCACTAATTGTGTTTTTTGACTTAAAATAATATCAGGTTTTTACAAAAAAGACTGGCATTTATGGGGTTAAAATACGAAACCTGAATAAAGTTTTGCTATTTATGATTAGGTTATAAGTCAATGATGGCAGCCAAAAAAAAAAAAATTTAAATATATTTATTTAGACAATATTTCTACTGCAGCAAAATGGAGGGGACCGTTTCGGTCCTTAGGGGTGTTAATTAAAGTTTTTATTATTATTCAACACTACAGAAAAAATACAAATCCTTTCAAATCAATTTTCTCATCAATGTTTACCAATCCCATGCTCTAATAATCAAAAGTTTAAAAAAACAATTTGCATATATAGGATGGAAAATAATTCACTAATTGTGTTTTTTGACTTAAAATAATATCAGGTTTTTACAAAAAAGACTGGCATTTATGGGGTTAAAAAACAAAACCTGAATAAAGTTTTGCTATTCATGATTAGGTTATAAGTCAATGATGGCAGCCAAAAAAAAAAAAAATTAAATATATTTATTTAGACCATATTTTTACTCCAGCAAAATGGAGGGGACCGTTTCGGTCCTTAGGGGTGTTAATTGAAGTTTTTCTTAGGGGTGCACAAGGGTTAAGTCAGTGAACAAAACAGTCTGTGAACAACATATATCAGTCTGTGAATGAAACATCTGTGAATGACCTGTATCAGTCAGTCAGTAAAACAGTCTGTGATCGACATGTATCAGTCAGTGAACAAAAGTCTGTGAATGACATGTATCAGTATGTAAATGAAACAGTCTGTGAATGACATGTATCAGTCAGTCAATAAAACAGTCTGTGAATGACATGTATCAGTCAGTGAATGAAATAGTCAGTGAATGACATGTATCAGTATGTGAATGAAACAGTCTGTGAACAAAATGTCAGTCAGTGAACGACATGTACCTGAACGGAATGATTCAGTCAGCCAGTAAATGACATGATGAATGAAACAAACAACTTCTGAATGACTGAATGACTCCGAATGACTTCAAATGACTTAATGAAGGCAGAGGAGGGAGGGGGTGTAGTGTCATTCACTTACTGCTGAACGTTTGTTTATTCACTGAGGCTAAGATAAAACAGTGCATTGTAGTGCCTTTACATTAATACTCGTGTATAAACTTTCCTGCATAAGAATTTTATTTCAGCTGATTTAAAGCAATACGCTATTTGGTATCTATTCACTTTTCTGCGATATAAAAGAACGACGACTCATGCTTGTTTAGCGGGCGTGCTGCTGTGTTGTTTTCGCCAACAGCGATACACAGAGAAGTGACCTTTTCAGGGCAGGGGAGTGATTCTTCCTTCACAACTTGGCGAATGAATGACATGTCACCAAGTGAACGATGCTGTGACTTCAGCAGCAGGGGAGGGGAGGGGCTCGTTCAATGATCGAACTTGCGGCTGTGTCACTCACTTGTGTACTGCACTGGCAGGACGGGGCTACGAAGCACTGATTGATTCAGTGAACGAATCTTTTGAACGAATTATTTTAATGAATGGATTCTAAAGATTCAGTACAGTCAAAAGAACTGTTCTTACCATCACTATTGTTAAGTCTGTTTGATTTGTCTGATAAATTGTCCTACAGCTCCTAAAGGAGGACACCTGGATTAGGGAGAAATTATCTTTCATAAAGTATAAAGGAAAACTCTAAATCAGCTCAGACATTGTATTTAGGTAAGTTCTGATGGCTACACCTTCACTGTTGTATTTACCAAAGTTTCTTTCTGTCAACCTTGTTGCACAAATAAATAATTTAGTTTATCTAAAGAACTTTTCCAGCCTCTGTAAACCAGTAAACATGGTGTGAAATGCTGCTCTGATTCAGCCTCTGGTCTGAAACTCTGCCAACAGCTGGAGAGTTAAAGCTTCAGCTCAGAAAGTTTGCAGGAGCAGAAATATTTTAATGTGTGAAATAACCATAAAACCATGTGAAAACCATTAGAGAAACTCTGACGTACAGAGCTGAGCTGTTTGAGATACAATAACTGTACTTTGAACACACCAAACAGACACTTCTGACTCTCAGAGACCAGCTGATCCCAGGCTGGGTATTTTCAAGTTACCTGTTAAAATTAAAGTCCCACCCTGATCGTTTTTTTTACTACTTAAAGTGTTATCAGTGGTCTTTAATTTATGATTATGAAGTTTTTACCAAAAATCACATTACCTGTGTCATTTTCAAGAACTTTTCTTCTGCAGAGCTCTAGTAGCTCATCAGCAATTCACCTCTGAGTCGTCGGCAGAGACAGCACAGCTCTGCACACTCCTCTTCACGTTAGCTTGCAGCCTACCATCGCTTGTGCAACACAAGTGGCAGGTAACACAGGAGCTATGTCGGAAATGTCACTGTTTTTTAACCTGCTGTTTGGGTCTGCCAGAGATTCACAGTGATCTGAACGTAGAAATACTCAGAAGTGCAATATTACACTTATTTTTCTCATGGTATGTCGTGTAAAATCAGAAAAAATGCCATATGAACATGTAGACAACAAGAAAACCACAATTTACACTGGAGTGGGTCTTAAGTAAGAAACAGTTGGATGAAGGTGTTGTCCTTTTTCTCTGATCAGCCTGTTCTCTGTTTTTAAGCATGGACCCCTGTGACAGAGTGGCTGACAACAGAATAAATCCACCTACGTTAGTTTGCTCCATGCAGACTGTGACATGCATGATGAGTGTCCTCCGCAGGTGCACCTGGTCAGTGAAAAAACCTGGAGCAAATGAACAGCAGGTTTGATTTAACCTCATCCTGTAACCTCTGCTTTACCTAAAAGACCAGATTAGATCTCATGACCTCACCTGTAATTCATATCAGAGAGGATTTACTGGACTTAAATAAACTGCTCTGTATAAATAACTTGTGTTTTCACAGATTTATGTCTCAGCTGAATCCCCCTGAGTCTTCTTGATGTTGGATTGACATGTTGTTTGGTTTTTATTGCAGTTTTGGGTTCTTCAGCTGTGGGTCCTTATGATGTTAAAATGATTCTCTGTTTGGGTTTTTGGTTTTGGTTTCCCATGTCAGTCTGCTTTATTTGGTTATCTGAGGGCTTTTGTATTTTAGGTTCTTGTTTTGTTCTTGTGTATATTTCTATTTAAATGTCATAGTATTTTGTAAAGCTGTGTTTGAAAGGTGCTATGAAAAAATAAAAATTATGAAGGAGGTCTAAAAAAATCCCTGACTGGACTCACGTGTAAACCACATCACCTCTCTGTGTTTTCAAGACTCGCTGAAAAGACTCTTAAACGTGTGTGTGTGTGTGTGTGTTTAAATAAAGAGTAGGGACATGTTTCAATTCTTGGCTGGAGGGTTTGCATTGTTTGAGTCGTGTCGGGAAGTCTTTAATTCAAACCAGGACACACACACACACATGCACACGCACACACACACATACACAAACACATTCTAACACACAACGATCGGTGAGTGTATAGCAGCTTGTTCATGCCAAACTGAACATGATGTATAAAGTAGCAGCAGATCACAGTCAGATTTCTCCTGAGTCACCCTGAGTGATTCATGATTCGACGTTTATTGATCACATGGCAGCAGCTGTTTTCAGTTAGAGGATGAAGAACAAACTGTTTTTCTCTCAGTGATGGTGAAATCTGCTCCTCTCAGCGGGGGGTAAAAGGATGAAGAAAGGAGGGAGAAAAGAAGGGGGGTCTGAGGCCTCCGAGAGGGTCCGATATGTTTCATATGAAATCTCCCCTCAGCTCTACTTGCTGTGTGTGTGTGTGTGTGTGTGTGTGTGTGTGTGTGTGTGTGTGTGTGTGTGTGGGTATAAAACTCACAAACTTATGGACGTACTTTTACACTAACACATTGACACCCAAACTCAAACTTATGAACCAACACAGGGACTCACACTTATTCACACACTTATGCACCAACACAGGGACTCACACTAATTAACACACTTATGCACCAACACAGGGACTCACACACACTTATGAACCAACACAGGGACTCACACTTATTCACACACTTATGCACCAACACAGGGACTCACACTAATTAACACACTTATGCACCAACACAGGGACTCACACACACTTATGAACCAACACAGGGACTCACACTTATTCACACACTTATGCACCAACACAGGGACTCACACTTATTCACACACTTATGCAACAACACAGGGACACTCAAACTCATCAACACACTTATACACCAACACAGGGACTCACACTCATTAATGCACTTATGCACTTACACAAGAAAGTAAAAACTCACACACCAACACGGAAGTTAATGCATAAACTAATGCACAAATGCAGAAGCTTACCAACACACCAACATATTGTGATGACCCTACAGCCCAGACAGGGCTTGCTGTTTGGTTCCTTTTGGAGTTTGCTTGTTTCTGCAGAGTGCTGGTAGGTGGGGTTCTCACGCACCTAGGAGTACCTGACCAGTCTCCCTGGAGTATAAAAGATCAGGTTGTCAACCTGTTCTCTCTCTCTCTCTTTCTCTCCCCCTCATCCTCACCATACGCTCCATGCAGCAACATGGTTTAGCTTAGTTGGCATCAGCCCTTTGTGCAGAGCCAGCCCAAGGCATAAGCGAACTAATCGCCTGCGTAGGGCCTCGCGGCCAATAGGGGGGCCCCAAGAGCAATTAAATAAAAAGTTTTTGAAATATTTTTTGTTTATTGCCTGTATAAGGGATGCTGTCTGTATGATCAAATATATATTACTGTAAAAATAAATGAAAATAAATTAAAAACATTTTAGTGCTGCTGCTGATGTAGGCCTATGATTCTTACTGCCAATATGTCAAAGATCCGCTACTGTTATGTTCCTTCTGCTGTGTAATGTGCACTGAGTATCCAAAGTGCAGGTAGTTGTAAGGCAAAACAATGTCGCAAAAAAGGATATATCCCTCAGGAGTAGAGAAAAGAAAGAGAAAGAAAGAGAAGAGAAAAAAACATGGAATGTTAATCAAAGAGATTTGTGAAGGTGTGTGAATGATCAACAATCAATATTATTGGCAGAAATAGAGGGCCCCAAAATCAAATTTTGCTCAGGGCCCCCATTGCCTCTGTGTGATGTAGTTTTACACCTTACAACATGCTGCACAAGCACACACATCCTCCTCACATCCAACAGACACGCTGATCAACTGACTCACACATATTTAGTAGAACACGAGTAAAGACATATTCATGAACACACTAACATATGAACAAATAAACACACTCCCACATGACTGAATGAACATTTAAAAACCCAACAGAGAAATGGTGTTAAACCCCTTTTCTTTCTTCCCTGTCACCTGAAATCAGCTGATTTCCTCCTCTTCTTGTTTGTTTTTAACTGAATTAAAGTTTGCTGAGTGATGCTGATCAAAGAGATGAAATAAACTACATTCACTCCTCA